GAGTAGTTCCTCTGCTGGGCTTAGGCAGGTGAACTCAGGTCAAGCCAGAGCCCCGCCGCGGCCACGCAGCCTGTGCGTGATGTCCGAGTAACAGTGGACGCCGCAGGATTTGTGCAGGATCTCATCCAGCTCTTGCTTGCGCGGGGAGAGATATCGGCGTAGGTAGGTTTCAGCGAAGCCATTATTGCTAAGGTATAGATGTGAAAAGCAGCAGAAACCAAACCCCCAACAGCACGGATTTTCCCCTCCGCGCCCCCCCCCAGGTCCCTTTTTCTATTTATGTATGCGCGTATGTACATATAAAAGATGGAACACAGATTTCATTGAATAAATCTGAGGTCTCCAGGTGCAGACGTCTGCAGGGTCGGTGCCAGCACCCCGTGTTTCCCTTTCCTGCCGATTTTGCTTGGATCCGGCTCAAAAACCCAGAGTCTCGTGGTTTTGTTTACACTGAATGGGGAGGATAGGAACAGAGCCATGGGCCGTCTTTCATTAATATACAGTGAGGATTTTGTCTAAATTACTGCTATGAATTTCACAGTACACGCTTTCAAAAGCAGTCTCAGGTGGCCTGATGAAACGCGATAGCGCCTCTGCAAACAGATCCGCTTTCTTTCTCCTCCAGGAGGGCGTGCGTGCTGTGGGAAGCCCCCCGAACGCAGCGCTCCTCCGTCAGAGAAATACACTGCTACTCTGAGGTTCGTCCCCGCCGTCTCCCCTTTTCTCCTACTTAGTTCTCCAGTCGCTCCCGAGCCTCCCCCAGCCTCACTCCACTTGCCCCCTCCCTCTGCGAGTGTGATTGTTTTGTCTGGAAAAAAAAAATCCAAAGTATATAACAAGGGGAGAACAGTTAGTGCTGATTTTCATTTGCATACATTTTCATATATTTTGGTGAAAATAATAGACTAGTGGAGAGCTGGGCTCTGAGGAGTCAGTGTGAGGGGAAGGCTAAGGCTGCATCGTTCTGGGGAGTTGAGAATATGCATTCACCGCCTCCCGTCACTTGATTGAAAAAAAAAATCTCTTATTTTAAAATCTAACCCCGGAAGTTTGTTGGGTAAGTGTTTTTCATCTTCTCTCCCTGCTTTCTCTT